TAGTAATCGGGTCCAACCCTGCTTAACTAAAACCCAGATATTTTTATTCCTTTTGATAAACTCTTCTGAATAAACAAATAAAAATGAGCAGGAACTACTTTGTACTACTTTGCCTATTAATGATTTATAGCTTTTCCCACAAAATCAAGCAACATTTTACTAATGCTCAAAGACTGATTGTAATTTCTATTTCTACAAATTACCACCTGCATCCTAAAGGTGGATTAAATGTTGTAAACCAAAAAAGTATTTTAAAGTTCCAACCACAGAACAAACAAATTACTATAGTTTTGTCCCAGAACTTTTGAATATGTCCAAGTTGCATGATTCATTCTTCTGTTTAAATTCCTCTTAACTCACAGAAACTTGGGAGAAAGCATTAACCAAATTCATCCCTATTAGCGATTGCCAGGATAAGTTAAAGGGGTACAGAAGTATGATAGTGAAGGGGGAAAAAACATAAAGATAAAAAGTAACGCTGCATGTCCAACAGACATATTTAGTGCTGCAATTGAATTTCTTTCTGTGAAGAGTTCATTGATTATATCATGACGTTATGACTACATTATGCACTTGCTTTTCGTGCAGGCTGTCAAATGCAAAACTATATACTATTTGTGCATTACAAGAATTCTTACTGTTATGATTGCAAAACTATATACTATTTGTACATTACAAGAATTCTTACTGTTATGATTCTGTAGTTTCAGAATGCCAAATGTCAGAATTATGTTTTATACACATGCAATTGGAAACAGTAACGAACAGCTGAAAAAGTGGATTTTTGCTTTTGTTGTTTATGAACTGCAGTAAATAGACCTCATTGCTGTTGCTTCTTTGCAGAGCTCATTTGAGAAGGTAAATGTGCAGATAGTCCAGGGTATTTTATATTTTACATTAATATTATACGAGAATGTGTGTGTGTGTTTGTCTATACATATACACACACACACACGCACACACGTTTTCGTAGATTTTCACGGGTGTACGTATGCTGGTCTTGTTGTATTTGGATCTTTTCCCATGTAAGATTGAGATTGTCTTGGCAATGTTTCAGCGAGGTCTCACTCGCCATTTTCAGGCTGGGTTTTGGGCCCAAAACCCAGCCTGAAGATGGTGAGTGAGACCTCGCTGAAACATTGCCAAGACAATCTCAATCTTACACGGGAAAAGACCNCAGCCTGAAGATGGTGAGTGAGACCTCGCTGAAACATTGCCAAGACAATCTCAATCTTACACGGGAAAAGACCTGAATACAACAAGACCAGCATATGTGTGTGTGTGTGTGTGTATATATACACACACACACATACATATATATACATACATACATACATGTGTATGTACACACATACACACACCTTAATGGAACTTAGATGCAACAATCTAGTCACCATTTCTCATACATCTGATATATGGTAACTGCAAATGCCTAATGACTCATCCCAATTTCATGCACATATATAGATACATTGCTTTGATGGGCATCTTTTCACCTTATTAGTGCAGTAAATTAAAGGTTTACTCTGTTCATAAGCTTCTAATGACTGCAGTTCTATATGGCTTAGGGCTGAAGCACATTCAGGATTGTCTACTTCAAACAGTATTAGCCTAACCAAGAAACAATTGTAGTTTTCTATTAACATGAAATCAGATGGTTTTCTCTGTTATGGAACCCATGATGTTAAGTAAGAAGTTAGACTTGCACTGACCCTAGTGGTTTTCTGGAAGCAAGATAAAAAGGAGCTCTTGTGAATAGTGTTTTAAGTAGTTAGGACAGAGCTTCAGAGGTTATTTACATATCATTCTGATAGCCAATTAAAGATACATTTTAATGGTTGCATTTATTACAGTATTATTTGGACCAGGGAATTTTATTCTTTGTAGTCATCAAGAATCACATGATGGTAACTTCCTTAAAAATAAAAATCCAATAAGTAAATAAATTAGTGTCAGTGCCAGTGTGTACATTAAAGCCTTAAAATGTTCCACAGGGTATTAAATCGTAGACAGATAATTGAATGAATTTAAATGTAAATAAAGAGCACCTCAACATACAAGCAATAATTTTCTGTTATTCAATAGTAAGCCTAACTGAAATCTATTGGAAGTTTTAGAAGGTGGGCGCTGAAGGCAAGGTATAAATCAGTACTGTTAAAATGTGGAGTTCCTGCGTTGCCCATGGCTATAAAATGAAGCTTTATAATTAAATTGAACTACGGTACTTAAGCTGCATAAAGGAATGCCTTTAACTAAACAACAAGCAAGAAGGGGGAAACCAGAAGAAACTTTAATTATTTCAAATCTCTCAGAGGCAGCAGGTAGTTTTCCCATAAAGCGCTTAAATGACTATTATGATCCAAATAATAACCATGAAAATTAAAGTGCAGTAGCAGAATACCCAGTGCAGGCGAAAACATACAATGTTATATGTGATTCAAAAATCCTAGTAGCATTTCTATAATTAATTTCATTAAACTTACTTTAGAAAAATTGATAAATGAACAATAATAGAGATTAAACACATACTTTTAATACACATGCTGCCATAAGGACAGGCTGGTATGAACAGGGGTAATACTGGGTAACACAGAAATGTTTACTAGACTTTTTCCCTTTTATTTCAGTTTAGAATATACAACTTTCAACCATTATCTTCATTTCAAACCTAATGGGGAGCACTTACTTTCTTTGGGCCTTATCTTTCTTGGCTTTGGTCCGTTTCTTTCGGGCTTGCAATGCTAAAACTGAAAAGAGATGGGGAAGTAGAAGAAAGCTGAATTAAAAACGGGTACAGAAAGTTTAATTTTTAACATCATCTTTGGTTTACAAATCCTTTAGTAGAGGCACCATTTATTTTCGATTTCAATAATATATGCCTCCGTCATTTTCTTTTTTTCTTCCTTAAGAACGTAACCTAAGTGGAGACAAAGCATCATACTCTCCACCTCGTACGCACAAAGAGGAAAGCTAGGCAGACACTTAAGCACATCACTGTCAACATACCTGAAAAATGCAACAGGCATCTATTATTAAGTATACTAAAAAGAAACCAGAAACCAGATCATTTAGATCAGAGCAGCAGGTTGAATTCAAATTAAAAGAAGACCAAGAAGAGTAACTTCTTCCTGAGGCGAATTAAGCAAAAAGGGGGGGGGGGAGAACCGGAGCAAAAAGAAAAGCCCAACGCGCTCACCTTTCCGTTCCATGGCGGCCAGCGACGGCAGCCTCTCTGAGCTCCCGCGCGTGCGCTCTAAAGATGTTCCTTGCGCCTGCGCCGGGCGTGGGCGGGCCGGCCGGCGCGTGCGTACGGCCGGTATCTTCGCGCGCCGTTGTGCGCGCCACCAAATTTCTTCGCCGCCGCTGCTGTCACTTCCTTCCGAGCTGGGACTACTAAGGAAAGCCACGCCCCCCGGCTCTTCCAAGCGCGTACGGCACCGCCCCCTCCTCCTCTGCATGGGAGGGCGAAGCCGCGCGTTAGGCTCCTCGGCCGCCTCCCCCTGTCCCATGGGCGGAGCGCATGCGCTTCCCCCTCCGCAGCCCGCTGTTTTCCCTTTCGGTTTTCGCCGGATTTGGCGGGGTCAGAAAGCGGGGTAAGGGTTAAAAACTCCGCCTAGCGTGTGGTAGTGAGGTGCCGTCGCTAGACAGAGAATTGTGACGTATCCGCCGTCAATTCTGCTTGCGGGCGAAGTTTCAATTCATAGGCACAGCCGACATGACAGTCAAAGGTGCAAGAACGCCTTTCGGAGTCCCAGAACGAGCGATTGTTCCGACAACTGGTTTCTGATGGCCCCCATTCATAAGCAGGTGGCGGCAGGTCGCAGCGTCCGAAACTGCTGCAGAATTGCGGGCCGTTTTGAGATGGCTGTTAGTGGCGTTCGGGGATCGACTTTTAACGTGAGATTTAGGGTTGTGTTATTTTCCCATTTTTCAAGAAGTATCTTTCCGCAGAGCGGCGTCTAATATCTGATAATATCTCTACGTTTTACATGGCTTTTTTTTTGTACTGTTTTATTCTTGTAAGTCGCCCTCAGTCACTTTATGTGAGATGGGTGGCTAGGTACATCTAACTAATAAGTTGAAGGTAATATAATGTATAGAGCGTGATTCCCCTTACAGATCCTGTTCCGGGGGGGGGGGAGAAACGAGCAAAACTCGATTCTGCATACGGGTGAATATATGGCATCAACAGTGGTCAGTACAAGGAAACGAAATAGCGTGGGCGCTTTTGTTTTCTTGAGTAAGGCTAGACAACACTTGTGGAATAAAGCAAATTGGATTTAAAATAAACGGAAATCCAGCAGTTTCAGTAATTTAGGCTGGTTAACCTGAGGAAGCTTCTTGGATGAGAAACGAAACGTCTTCAAAGTAAACCAGAAAGTCCAGTTGCCTCTTGGGAAAAAAAAAACATCTTTGGGACAACCATTACTTAGATAGACATTTAGACTGGTTAAGCAAAAACGAGCTTGGGGGGTGGAGCACTTTTCATTACTTTTCATCTCTAAACCAAAGAGGCTGCCTTAGAAATGTCGCAATGAAGATTACGGCGCTTCTTCGCCTAAAGCTCTGGGCTGCAGCCTTTTCCCATAGCAACAGGGAGGAAATGCAAGAAGACATAAAAGCGGGCTCGCGCTGTCAAACTAAACCCCCAGGAAGGCAACTCCTACGATGGCCTCAAACTCCGCCTTCCTCCGTTTCTCTCCCTCCTAGATCTCGCGAGACCATCTAGAGGGCTGTGCTCGTATAGGCCGCAAGAATCAGGTTCCATATTGGGGCATCGCCTCTAGCGATTCCGAGCCGTAGATCTCGCGATACCTCTTCGATCAATTGGTCGAGGATCTAGGAAGAGGTTCGCAGAAGTCAGACTGGCGTGACTTCGTCATTGCTTGGGTCCCCGCTCGACTCTTAAACCAGCTCCGGTCTCCTTAGAGACCTTGCGTGCACCCTAGGTGGCCTTTCCCGTCAAGGGATTGCGCAGCCTGGAGAAGTGAGCGCTTGCGGGGTCCCCGCGCTCCGGCCACTCTTCCTGCAGCGGTCCTTCTGCCTTCCTCCCGAGGAAGGGCTGCAGCGGTGCAAGGCGCTTGGGGCGAGCCGCGGTCAAGCGACCGAAGTTGCAGCTAAGGCGCGGGCGACTTTCCCACCTCCTCCCTCCGCGCGGGAAACTCCCTTTCGCTGCAGGGGGAGGAGCCGAGGTCCCCGGTTCGAGGGTCTCCTCCCTCCCGGCCCCGCTGGGTGGGGCGGACTTGGGGGTCGCGATGACCCAGGAGCGGCCTAAGTTCTACCGGCAAGAGCTGAACAAGACCATCTGGGAGGTGCCCGAGCGTTACCAGAACCTCTCGCCGGTGGGCTCTGGAGCTTACGGCTCCGTCTGGTGAGTTGCAATCATTCCACGGGGGGGGGGGGGGGGGAAACGCGCCGTCTGCGCTGCATCCAAAGAGCGGAACGCGCATCTTTGCAACGCCGCCCGACATGCAGTTGTCTGCATTCTCACCGAGGCCTGTCACCCAGGTGGAGATCCTATTCCTTGGCAATTTGCTTTGTTTTAAAAGCCTCTCGGGATGGTTGGTCTTAGCATGCTTTCACCTCCCCCCCCCCCAAAAAAAGGGTTTGTTCAAGTTGCGGTATCAGAAGGAACTGGTTTGGGCTGTTCTGTTCTGCTCTCTAAAGTCCGGGCGTGTAGACTTATGCTGCCCTCCTATGCTTTATTCTACCATCACATTGTCCTGTCAGTCTCATTTTCCCTCGTGGACGCTTTCCACTTATTTTGTTCTGAGAAATCATCCGGTAGGTGGTTGGTTATCCTGTTGGACTAGGACCCAGGGAAACCAAGCACTAAACCCACCCACCCAGGAAAGCTCGTTGGCCAATTTTGGACTTCTCCTTCGTCCCGTTGCTCTTTCGGCCCAGTTTACCTCCCGGGGTTAATGGACGATGACGACAAATTGAGCGTTTTGTACTCTGCCTTGAGCTGGAGGAAAGACCAGATAAAAATTTAACAAATATGCATAAACCATCTTGCTTTTCTGGTGCCTAAATGATAGGCTTTGGGAGAGAGGAATTGCTTAATTATTCATGTCCCAGTTTCAGTTTGGAATTGCTGGGCAGATTGTCTGGTTGAGGAAAAAACCTTAGTGCCTTGATGACTTCAGGATCTTTCCAGGCAAAAATTGTTTCTTATTAGGGTGATGTTGCTTTCTGTTGGGCCTACATCAGTAAAGCAGTGACTTCAGTTCTGCATGACGAGAGAGTAAGCTAGCCAAATCTATTGCGTTCATCTCCTTTATCCTTGAAAGAAGCTCATATACCCTTTTGGTTCTCCCATTGTCTTTCTTCTTACAAAAATTGTGGGTATGTTAGGCTGACCAGGACTGGCATAAGGCTTAATGGATTTAAATTTCAACACACCAAACTTATTTTCTGAGCGTATGAATAGCACCTTCTTAAATAAAGTTAGCATACTTCAGCTCTTGTAAATAGAAGAAGCTATGGAATGTATAGGCTGAGCCTAAAGATATTGTAAAATAGTTGAAACAGAGTAGTGTAAATTAGAAGAGGAAGTTGTAATGTTTCTCCTAAAAATGTTTTGCATTCTATTTTATGACGTGCATTAGTACAACAAAAATATTATACAGTAGTTATCCCTCATGGAGAAAGAATGTTCAAGGAAATCAGATTCAATAACAAATCACTATTAATAACACCTACATTATGTTAATAATGTATGACAGTATGTTAGACAGTAAATAAAGCTGAGGCAGCCTACCTTTTTGCTTTTGTGGAAATACATAGATTTTGCTAATATTGTAGATATCTTAAAAATAGTTATAATGATTACTGCCTCTACTCATAACATTTTATTGTGATAGGTTATAGATTTTATAGATTCACTCTGCCACTCCAACATTTTGTAATGAGTAGGAGGATACATTCCAGATGAGACAATATTTTTATTTTCCACAAATTTTTGTGGAGCTTAAGTAAATATTGCTGGTATTGCTTTGTACAGAATGCTTGAATATTCTTACATTAGAATCTTAAAAAAAACATTAAAAGTCAGTTATGCTGGTAAATCTTTCCTTTTTTTCTGATTAAAAAAATCAGAAGGAAGTAAAGTGCTCTTGACAAATACATTGCTTAACAAATGCAGTAGGATTAGTCAATATACATATCAGTGCTTTTAGTTCATACTCTAAATGCTCTACGTTACTTGATTCTCTAAATATTCTACGTTACTGAAATTCAGCACTGAACCTCCCAGATAACATTGTGCCAGGAGTCAAACATTGAAATAGTGTACCATTATTCAAAATACATCATATACATAGTCCTCAACTTGCGACAACAATTGAGTCCAAAATTTCTGTTGCTAAGCGAGAGAGTTAAGTGAATTTTGCCCCATTTTATAACCTATTTTGCCGCAGTTGTTAAGTAACACATTTGTTAAGTGAAATGGCTTACACGTTGAATCTGCTTGTCAGAAGATCGCAAAAGGTGATCACATGACCCTGAACACTGCAACTGTCATAAATATGAATCAGTTGACAAGGGTCTGAATTTTTATCACATGACCATGGAGGGTGCTGCAGTAGTCTTAAGTGTGAGAAACGGTCATAAGTCACTTTTTTCAGTGCTGTTGTAAGTTCGAACATTCAACTGTTGCAAGTTGACTACCTTTATTCTATGGAAAGGACATTGGAATGATAATAAAATGTATTTCATTAAGTTTTTTAATGAATGTACATGTCTACTGACTACTTTGGTCTATGAATATTTTTGTTCAATCTATTGTTTCAAATATCTCAAAGGCACATAAAGTTATTAGTTTCTTGATACAGATTTTTATATAGCCATTTCAAACTCAGTTTGGACATGCTTTCTTGGCAACAATGTGTTTAGTATATTTTTAAGAGTTTGTTTATATAAGTTTTTAATGATTTGTTTCAGCCAATCCAAAAGCACTACGTATGTTATAGTCATGGAAAGATGTACAAAGAATCAGCATACTTTTATATCTGTAAAAACGTAAATCAGTTTTTAAAGGTTTAGCACTCAAGTTTTCTTTCTAATGTTTATACCTCTAGAAAATAGATTATTAATGTTATACTCCTAGTTTTGAGAATCTGGAGCATCGCTGTATACCAACATTTCATCACATGAGAAAAACAGTATATTTTGAATTCATACGATGATTGTTAAATTTCCTAATTTAGTATTGTATTTTATGGTATAGCCTCAAAGATTTAAGTTAGACTTAGATTTTAGTTCCTACTCCTTATTCAAAAATAAGGCATTCAATGGGATTCAGTTTCAGGTAAATATGAATAGGGTATAGTGGACTTCCTTGAGAAATCAATGTAGTTCTGTTATTCTGTGGCAAGCTCCAAAGTTTTAAATAGTTATATTATCCCCCTTTCCTCCAAACAGTTTAAGGCAGGGAAATAATTAACTATGTCTGGATATTCACTTAACCTAAACATTCCCATTGTCCTTTTACTATACATTTAAGATACTCCTAGACTTATGACCGTAATGGAGACCAGAATTTCTGTTGTTAAGCAGGACTTAAGTGAATCATGACCAATTTTATGACCTTTTTGCCATGATTGTTGTGAATTATATGGTCATTAAGCAAATGTGGCTTCTCCCAATGTCTTTGCTTGACTAGTTGGGAAGGTCCCAAAGGATGATGACATGATCTCAGGCTCCTGTAACCATGGTAGATACATGCAGTTGCCAAGAGTCCTAATTTTCATCATTACGTGATCTTGGAGATGCTGTGATGGTCATAAGTGTGAAAAATAGCTGTAACAGCACTTTTTTCAATGCTGTTGTAACTTCAATCATAAATGAATGATTGTAAATTGAAAACTACCTGTACTTTGTTCCATCTTGAGAACCATATTATAGTTTTTCAGGATAACATAACTATTTCAGCTAATGCTTCTAGCATTAGAAATTTCGGTGTGTTTTGGGGTCTCAATTGAATTAGAAAGGAGAAAAAGTCTCATTCTCTGTATACCTCCAGGTATACATTGTTCTACAAATTCCTGCTTTTAAGCTGACAAGAACATCCATTGTAAGTGCTCAGAATATACTCAAAGGTGCTTTTTTCAAGAGGCAACGGGACTTCCTTGTTTTTCTTTGAAGACATTTCACTTCTCATCCAAGAAGCTTCTTCAGTTCTGACTGGATGGTGAGGAATCCATTCAGAGCTTAAGAAACTTCTTGATTGAGAAGCAAAACATCTTGAAAGAAAAACAAAGTCCAATTGCTTCTTGAAAAAGCACCTTTAGGATCTGGATGATTGAGAATCTCCATAGACATTCAGGCTCAGGATAAAACAGAATATTTTTGTGGATTCTTCTAACAATTTGGTGGCTTGTGCTTCAAGGCAGCAAAAAGGGACCTTGTTGTGAGATGGTATTGGCTTACTCAATTCCCCACTTATCCAGTGTATGATTCTTGACATGAAGATGAGGCATTATTGTTGAAGGAAATACTCCCCCCCTTCTGATTCTTTTCATTCTTCAAAGGGCTTTTACCTTCATATCTTGAAATAATTCAAACTAAAGTGGAGTTGAGTCCTATTAGTCCTTTTCTAGTAGCCACAATTCAGAATTTCAGTCTTGATGGACTGATGAACATATCTGGAATTTTAAAAACACTTTTATAGAGCTGTGTAAGTTGCTTGGATGTATCCATGAAGTCACCCATTATCTTTATAGTGCAGAGAATCCAAGGGTTCTTGCAGTTAGTAATTTTGGAGCGTATGGTGATGAGCACTTCTAAGTCATCTAAAATATTTTACAGTGTATTCATTGCACAAGTTAAGAGAAGTTCCTGATTGCAGACTAAATTTTTCTTTGTACTAGTTTGCCAGTATTATACTTGACCAAATATTATAAGAGTACTAAGTGTTAAGAGGCATCTGGTGGCATATTTCCTTTTGCCTGATGTAAAACAGTGCAAATATTTTAGCGTCAAGATTAAGGATTTAATCAGTATATAGTTTGATCAGTTAATGATAATTAAGCGATATAGATAGGTTGAGGAATCCAGGCTAGCATCCAAGTAGGTATACAAGTTATCTGTTCATGTAAGATTGTTGTAAGAATTTGAAACAATAGCCAGAGGAAGAAATTATTGGATTCATTTGCAGTAAATCCAATTTCATTGTAGCAAGGTCATATACCCTGTTTCCCTGAAAATAAGACCTCCCCGGATAATAAGCCCAATTAGGCTTTTGAGCGCAAACTCTAAAATAAGCCCTTCCCCGAAAATAAGCCCCCAAAATATTGCAGCACAGCAGCAGCCGTGACCACACTTGCCTCCTCCTCCTTTCTGGAACTTCTAAGAGAAATTTGGCAATTTTCCAGAAGTTATTTTTCCAAACTAGGTAGGTCTGGTTTCTGGTGTTCTCGAAGACGCTGAGCCATGATCCACCACATCTGCAAGATCAGAAACGTTTCTGTTTTCAGACAATTATCTTCTGGCAAACTGGCCAGGGATGGCCAGTTTGACAATGACCCAGAAGAATCATGGTAGGTTTTGCATTCCTGATAAATTGATAGAGCAAAATGACAGGCATTCATAATTTTTTGTTTAACTCAATATATGCATTTGGGATTCATATTAGACCTCAAAAGTATTCTTAGAAAATTAGAATAAAAACTGCCCACCTGCTTATATAAAGGAAGAGGAGAAGGTGATTAGATATGGACCTTTCCTTGGGACTAGTTTGGCATGATGAAGAATCAAGTCGATTAGTGGTGTATGGCATCATTTCTTCCTGTGCTAATACAAACATTGCAGATATTTTGCAAGAACACCTGCCAGCCTTAAATAATTGAGTATTCATTGTGGGAATGTCTCTTTTTATGTTCAGTTCAGTGTAGTTAATAACGCATAAGCAATTATTTTCAAATTTAGTGCAGGCATGGCTGATTCTGGGGAAGAGTGAAAAAAGATTTTCCATTCCATTTCAAGCTAAAATGATATGGGTACATTAGTTTTAGGATACATTTTAACAGAAACAGAAAAATTTGAGCTATTTATTGCTTACATTGGCTTGCTATAATGAAATCTGTACTAAAATAATTTTATTCTGACAAATGCTTTTTCTATTCAAACAGTCAAATTATTTCTTACTGAATTGTTGGTAGTCAGATATACAATATCTATTTCATCTTCAGATCTGATGGGTGCTTCTTTGTACATTTTACACTTGTTTGCTTTTTAATAACAATTACAAAAATATGGTCTGGATTTTTTTTAATACGTGGAAATGAGTATACTGTATCTCTTTAGTATTGTCTGTTAATCTGATTAGATCAGAAACCATGGCAATAACATTTCAACATTTTACTGATTCCAATGTCTGAAAAAAACAGAGCGTGGATATTTCTGAATTAAGTTATTCAATCTAAAGATCTGAGGAGTAGTTTGGGCATTATTTCCACAACTGACTTGCTGTGAGGCATACATCGTGCTTCACGATATAGGAGCTTTTGTTTATGAAATGTCACAATATGTGAATTTTGAGGTTGAAACTTTCAAGAAGTTTACAGGAAGTCATCGTATCTCTGGGTTATTAGTCATATATTTGCAAGATTTTTCATTCATTCTTTATAACGCCAAAATAATTCCCAAAGTTATTCATTTAGTATAGTATATTAAAATGAACATCATATAATAATTCTTTTTCCAAGTTTACTCTGAGAAAAATTTTCAACTTCTTTTGGAGTTCATATTCTAAGTTACAAAAGTTAGTTACATTGTCTCAAAAGAATATGATAAATGTTAATGTTTTCATAATTAAATGTTAACACTAATTACATCATTAATGCTTTTTTAAAATGATTTTATAGCTCTGCCTTTGATGCTAAAACTGGCCTCCGTGTGGCAGTGAAGAAATTGTCCAGACCATTTCAGTCTATCATACATGCCAAAAGGACCTACCGCGAACTGCGACTGCTCAAACATATGAAACATGAAAATGTGAGTTTGATACAAATCATAATTGTATTTGGTTTCAGAGTGAAGTTGAGTATGAACAGTTTGTTAACTCTGGTTCACTTTACGAGTGAAGTCTCTGAGCAGGAAAGGGCTTGGTCATGCTCATGCAGAACTATTGTTTGAAAGATTTCTTTACAGGGCCGCTCACAGGTACAATGAATATGATTGTGCTGAATCCAAAGCACCTTTCACACATTGGAACTGAACACTGCAATCCATGAGTTTGCATGTGTCAGTTTACATGTCAGCCATAATGAAATGAAATGAAAATGACATTAGTCTTCAAGCAAAGAATGACGGTGGAGGGATATAGTAGTGAAGTATTTATTCTCCTATTAACTAAGAGCATAGTCAAATTTGAGGAAATAATATAACTGTTAATTCTGCAACATGTTGTGAAATGCTTCATAGCTTCTCTATTTCTGGAGCGCAATATTGCAAAAACATTTCTTCCTCTAGTTCACTTGTTGTCCAGGTTAAGCAACTATGTCAGATGAGTTCTTCTTATCTTGTTTGATTAGAATTCGGTTGATTTTTTTTTAAAGACCTCTAGGCACATTTCATTTTATTGTTTGGAGGAATTTTTGTTTTATTTTTTGTTTTTTGCCTAAATAGTATTGCTTCTTTGGTTTTAATTCCTTATTCATTTCTAGAGCTACAGATATAAAATAAGCAGCTGCATAAATCAAATGATTACGCCTGTCATCTTATGCAAAGTTTACAATATTTAATAAATAGATCTATCCTACACAATTTGAGTAAAGCCTGCAGTATTAAGGATTGAACTAATGGAGATTTTTGAAGTACAGTACAGCTAATCTGCTTTTAATCAAAATACTTTTTCAGATATATTAGTAAATAATGAAAGTGTGGAAAGGTTGTTCTATAAAAGCACCTCTTAATTTCCCTTTGAATGCTAGGAAAATCAATACAACAAAATTATGCAGATGAGCCTATATGATCAGATTGTCAACTCTTTGAGCATAACAGTTCAAACTATAGTTCTTATTGAATTGTGCCTTGTTTCTAAATAATATATTTTTTATACTGAGATATAGTGGCTGGGTGGTTAGTATGCAGTATTACAGGCTGACTTTGCCCACTAGTAGGCTCAAGGTTGACTCAGCCTTCCCTCCTTCCAAGGTCAGTAAGAGGACTCAGATTGTTGGGGTCAATATGCTGACTGTAACCCACTTGGAAGAGTGCTTAAAGTCTTAAATGCTATTGCTATTATTCAAGGACTATCAGGTTTCATTCTTCTGCGGGTAATGTCAGAACACTGAATGTACCATAGTAAAGACTGGTCGTTTGTAACTGTAATTGTGTGTAAAGAATTTATTACTGGAATATATTGATGTAAATGGCAAAACATTAAGCTTCAAAAGCTATATTTGCTCATATATTTATTTTCGATTGCTCATTAAGGACAGGCCTACCTTGGTTTTTATTGTTGACATTGAATATTTAGGAATTTCAGTAAAAGTCCATTACTTTTTTAATACTACTTATGTTAGTGAAAAGTTTTCACATGTAAATTGGATTGGATATTAATGTGGATTGGATATTGGATGGATAGATGGATGAATATTATAACTGTGAACACTTTAGAAGAATCGCTACAAAACATGTGGGAGTGGAAATGTGCTGCCATGATTGTAAGCGAAACCTCCATAATTTGGAACATGTGGTCCTGGAAAGAGATGAGCTGCTTTAGGAGTTACAAGCTAGTGCTCTGTTCACACTTCTACACGTTCCAAGCCCCTCTTCTAAATCAAAGAAGCATAACATAACTCTAGCACTTACAATTTTTTTTAAATGTTTGGCCCACAGTAATTAAAATTCCCATAAATTTAGAAAAGTCTTTCGAAAAGCCAGTCTCCTAATATAACTAGTTATCTCCTAATATATGTTTGCTCCAAAGTCATTCATTTCAGGTTTTTTGCATCATATTGGCTCAAGCGCCCAAAATGCAGTCATATGACTACAGGGAGGTTGATTGTAAGATCCTTGAATCTGGGTTGCAAGTATCTTTTTCAGGGTCTGGGGTCATATCTTCAAACTGTCTCGGAAATCTGGTCATAAATCAAGGACTACTTGTATAATATTGGTTTTATTAAATGCAATTAATAATAGTAACAATCAGTAATCAGAGTATATTCAGCATGATAGTGATGAGTTATAGCAAGCCCCAGCATGTCTATATTAGTTTTCTTTAGCATGGTTTTGCAAAAAAAAATTGAACTTTGCCAAGATTGATGTTGCTAAGCAATGTGGGTTACATGTTGTGATGCACAATCACATTGCTTAGCTAAAATTCCGGTCCCAAGTAATGGTAGTCCTTGAGTTACAACTGTAGTGGAACCTATGGTCATAAGCCTAAAACAGGTCAGTAACATGAGCAATCAGTTTTATGACATTTTTGAGATTGTTAAGCAAACATTGGTCATTAAGTGAATGTCATAGTCATTAACCGAAGCATTGGTTTGCTAAAAACTGGAAGTAACTGCTGTTATTTTGGAAAAAAAACTGTATGAAAATGCCACATACTCCATTCTCCAATTTTAATCTTTCAGTTTTGTATTGTTGGCAACATTGTGCCAGACTGATTTCTTGCCACTGTTAGCATAATCGATTATGATGCATTTCAATAAGATTCTCTGAATCATACTTAATAAAATATTTGTGGTTTTGATTCGATTTTAATTTCAGTATATTTTGATAAATCTGTTTCCAGTATTTTTGATCTTTTTGTGCATATATTACATATGGTAACATTTTTCTTGGTTGTAGCATTTCCAATAAATAAGCCATTTTTATAAAGACTGCATGCAGATGGATGTAGTAAGTACCTCTGATTTAGGTCTTCAGAGCTAGATCTGTAACATCCCAATGCACTTATTTTGGTCCGTTAGGGCTAATGCAGTCATATCTAATGCAAGTTGGATAGATCACCGCAAATTCACCATATTATTTAAGATGTAATGAACTGTTCTTCACTGGAGTTTGTCAATACATTTCCATACATCACTATCATCATTATGATTATTTTGAAATGCACATTGGGTGCCAGTAGAAGTTCTACCCAAATATAAAATTACTCTTTAGTTGCTTTACTACATTATTTTTACTACAAATTGATATATAAAAAACATGGCAACAATAGAACAATGAAACTGATAGAGGATCTGATGCTTTAAATCAAGTATTTACATATCAGGCACTCTGGATTAGGATACTAAATATACTTCAGTTGGGGAAATGTATTGGAAAAAAATGTGTTAATGTATATGCTTACTTAGGAATATCTTTCCCCACTTTACAGGTTATTGGACTTCTAGATGTATTCTCACCTGCGAAATCATTTGAAGAGTTCAATGATGTGTAAGCAACAGTTTAAAACTTTGTAATGTATACTTTATATTTTTAAAAATACTAATCCAAAATTTATAGCCTTTGTGTGAAAACTTGCATGTGAGGAGAGTTAATGGGGCAAATATGAGTGAGAGTATGCATCTAAGGTCATGAATAGTTTAAGTTTTACACCTGTTCAGTTTTGTTGTTGTAGAAGTGTATGAGCATTGAAAAATCTTGTGTTTGGAATGAAAAATAACCTGTTATAACCTAACCTAAAATAACCTACTGCTTCACACTATATGTTTTCTGAGGAAACAGTAAAATCATAGATAGGGTCATTGATAATACTTTGTTTGATTTTGTTTTATGTGTTTTATGTGTTGTTTAAAGTCAGTATTGTAGTTTGGGAATTATGGTGTATAATTTCGTGCAGAAGTTCTCAAACTTGATGGTATCCCCCCCCCCCCAAAAAAAAGGTTAATAAGCTCATGTTGGCTCCTCCAAACCAAAGCAATGATTTTATTGGGACCAGGACTAGGCATGAAAAGAAATATATCACTCGTCCTTAATAATAACATTGTAATCTAGATACCAGACAGGACAATAATGGAACTCTGCAACCTTACGAAACAAAACCTGTTTATTCGAAATAAACAGTCAAAGAATCAAATGCAAAATGATCCTTTTCAATTAGAAGTATAAGCCTCTCCAGTCCCACACAACCCTAGAAATCTGCATCCCATCTTCAAGATACCTACTGTTATTCCTCTCCTACCATATCATTTGCCTGAGCACATCATAACTGCATAGCATCTGATCCTTGCATTTGGCACATTTGACGCATATAAGATCATAATATGGTTGTACCTACCTTGCACAGAGATATATCCTGGAGCATGGGGTCCAGGCTTGAAGTCTGCAAGCTCACACTCCAGGTCCTCTAATCAGGTTGTAAAAAAATGGCCCCATCCCACATGCCCACAGTGTGTTTATTTTGGCTGGCGTCCTGCAGGTCAATGCCAAAGCACTGATAGACAACATTCCCACTCTACTGGGCAAGCACCTGTCTCTGGCCAAGTAGGAAGAGAGGTTCAGGCAGCATCTTTAGCCTACATGTTCAAACTCCCTAGAATTTGTGGCTTCTTCTCCCAAAGTCGTAACTTAATATGATGTGTTACACCCAGTCAGTATTTATCAGGATCATAGAATATATAATTTGCTAATTATATTTATGTCAAAAGGAGATAAAATACTAGAACTGTTGTACATGTGGTAACAATAGTTTCTAAGCCATCTCATACATAAATTGATTTTAAGTATTTAAATAACAGTACAGAATTTTGTGAGGATCTCCGTTTGTATGCCATCGTATCTCTCCCTCCCTCCCTCCCCTCCTTCTTTCTCTCTCTCTCTTCAACCTATTGAGCTTTGTATATCTTTGTTTATGTTGTATACCATTTTGAAGTTTTATAATTCAAATAAAAGGTGTTGGCAAAATATTTACTTTCTGAAGTAGAACTGGCTACTTTTCTTTCTGGGAAAAGGTGGGGGCGGGAAGGACTTAGAAAAAGAAAAGCTGAGCAAAATATTTTGAATGTCTGATAACAGGGAGGAATAAAGTTCCTTGGTTTTATTGTTAAATTTTCAGGCTTTTCTGTTCCGTCATTAATTTGCATTAAAGGACTCATGTACTTGCAGCTGTATGATGAGAGATAGTAGATTATGAAGTGGCAAACATTTTTAAGAGCTGTGCTTAAAAGTTGTAAAACTTGTATGTAACAGTTTTCATAGGCACGTTGAGACAGGCTTCCTGTTTTAATAAGTCCATTTAGATGGATGACTAAATGTTTCATTTAGCCTGTACTGTACAATCTTTTTACATTTCTTCAGAGAAATTGAAAAACTGATAAAAATCTCCTTAATTCATTGTTAGGAAGAACAACTGACTTCTGAAAATTCTTATTCTCTTATTATAATTTCTCTGAGAAGTGGTTTATTGTGGCTGCAGTGAGTGGATGGCTTGGTTGATAATAAAAGTTATGTGAACACAGTGGGAGACTGTCATGAGATCTCTTTTATCTTCTCACATTTATAACCTTTAAGCCAGAACCTATATGAAACAGCCTTCGTTTTTATTATCCTGTTTCCATTTGAAAGGAATAATCTAGAATATTTTAGATATATTTCCCAAATGATAAAAATACACAAAATTCTATAAATACAATTTTATAGATACACAAATCTCATATTTTTGGATTAAATGGATAATGGTGCTGATTTTGTACTTACAAAATACATAAAAAATTATATTTCTGTAAAATAAAGCTCTCTGTGAAAAATTTGAGATAAAGTTAACTTTTCAGAGCTAAAGAAGCTTCTTGGATGAGAAGCAAAACGTGTTCAAAGAAAAACTAGAAAGTCCAGTTGCCTCTTGAAAAAGCATCTTTGGGACAACCATGACTTGGATAACTGAGAATCTCCATAGCCATTTTTATAGTATACTGAGTTGGAGATTGACAAAACTAGTTTTGTATACATCAACTTTTGCCATTGATGTCCAAAGATTTGTAGTTCAACTGATGAAGGCTACACTTTACTGTAAGATGGTGATTAGTAGATATGTAAAACATGGTTATATGTCTTGGAATATACCACACATGCTGTTTATAATTAATGATTTTAAGTGGCTCTGCTTACGTTTCTTTAATCTCAGAAATGCTGGGTTGAGTTGTGTAAAGCATTACAAAGGGATGCTTTGCAAATAAAGTTAATAGGCAAAACTTCCCTTCTCAAATATTAAAGCAGCCATGTTCTCTGGAAGGCTTCAAGTCTGCTTTGAAGGTTGTTTCGGATTGTCTGTGCTTACGTGTGCATATGCAACTGCTTTTCTTTGTGTACAATTCCATAGAAAGTATTGCTTACAGATGTAAATGCAAACAACTGGAGACAGTCTTTCAAGAAAGACATGACTGTTTTAATACTTCAAAGAAAAATAGTTCACTCAAGTCAATGACTTTGATGGAACATTCTTCTGGATATTTTTGCACAGGTAGAGTTTTCATATTTGTTCAGGTGTCTTACAAAGAAGTAACCTTTTGACTTCTGTTTTCCAGATACCTTGTAACCCATCTTATGGGAGCAGATTTGAACAATATTGTAAAATGTCAGAAACTCACAGATGACCATGTACAGTTTCTCATCTATCAAATTCTTAGGGGTTTGAAGGTATTTCCAGTTTTATAAGCATATTAATTCCTATGTACATTTACTTCCTCTTTTAAAAAGAACTATAGAGGCAAATAATGTATTCAGGCAAAGGCAGTTATTACATTTTTGCTCTTCTGAATTATGTACAGTGATTTCCTTTTAAATAGATTTGAAGAAGGTTTGTCCTTTCTGAAATCTGGGATAGAAGCAAAAATGCTGTTGCACAACTATTGAATTGGTTCTGCTTCTTGCACAATTGAATTTGTATTTGGCTCTATATTATATTCAAGGCATTAATGTTCGTAGTGCATGGCATTTTTTCATTTGCTTGTACTGCATGTGCTGTATTTTTATTAGATATGAAGAAGAGGAGACTGCTTTTGACACTTGAAGGGAGGGGATATTAAAAAGTCTTCACCTAATCTTTCAACTGTTTGCAATAATACCTAACAGGAGAAGAGGTCATGTTGTAGATAACATTGTAAAGTACTCTCTCCCACCCACCCCTTTGTCATCTAGACAAAGACAGGAAAGTTCTCCAACAGGCATGAAAAACATAATTTTATAATGTAGCCAGTAGTAATATTTTCTCAACCATTTTATTAAATTCAGAAACATAGTTGTTTTCCCTAATCTCCCATAAAATGAGTTCAGGAAATATTGTCTACATTTCTTTTTTATTGATACTGCCTGTCATGTGATTCCTGTTTGACTGCACTCAGTTCAGGAAGGAAACACAGAGTTGGGAAATGTCCTATATTGGCCCAGAGAAAAAGTGGCCTAGTTGAACTACATTATGCAAAGCCAAAATTCAGCTCTTTGTTTTGGTTAACAAAATGGGCAGTCCTGGAAGAAAACATTTTTTGTTTGGGTGTTTGTTTTGTTTGTTTCTGGGCATCTTTTCAGAGGAATTTGCCTTTGTCTCCTTTCTGTGGCTGAAAGAGAGTGACAGGCCCAGACACCTTTGTGTCTAAGATAGGACCAGAACTCACAGTCTCTTAGTTTCTAGTTTGGTTTAGTACTAGTTATGATAACTCCAAAACACAAACAGTAACAACTACAGTAAGATGGAATTGGGCTACGAGAATTTGACTCTCCTAAACGTATATAGAAAGGGTTAGTTAGCATATCTTTAATCAACTTTCATTTTATTGAAATCTGTCCAACCTGCCAGACATTCCCTTAAAATTTTATGGTGTAATTTTTGATGAGATTATCTAATTGTTCAGATTCCAAGACACTTTGCCCATAGATATTTTGAATCAAAATGTAACAGAAAAGGATTATATCTAAAGAATAAAAATATTACATTACATTATTGTTTTTCATATAGGCATTTTTAAAAATTTCTAGTTGCAGATATTTGCTTTTCTATAGAAAGAAGTTGAGACCAGACCAAAAAAAGTACAATTACTATATCATGAATGCTGTATTAAATGGGGTAGGAAAAACATATTTTTTCATAAATTGAAAATATTGCCCTAAATCTAATATTAATACTTTTCTCTTTTAGTATATCCATTCTGCTGATATAATACACAGAGTAAGTATTGTTGCTTTATTAAAACATACAATATTTATAGTATATTGTATAGTTCTTCTAGAAGACAAAATATTGAAATTTTATAAATGAAAATAATTAAACCTATCCATATAAAGGAAGACATTATACATCCAACTTTGTTACAGTGTTGATTCCACTCACCTTTCTCACTCATTTTCTCTGTTAAAATGCAGGATGTCTTTGGTGAACTTTTATAGTAAATGCAATATTGTATTTTTATGGATAATCTTATACATTTGTGTTTAACATTTGTTGCTGTTATACAATACAGTGCAGGTTATAAAAATTATTACTAATAAGATGTGACTATTTAATAGCTTGGTTTTGCACAGTTATTTTAATATGGCGGGCTGATTCTCTTTTTCCCTTTTTTATTTTAGGATTTAAAACCTAGTAACCTAGCTGTGAATGAAGACTGTGAGTTGAAGGTAACTTGGAATTAATATGCCACATTGTTTATGGAAATTAAGCATTATTAATCTTATAGGTCAAGATCTTGATAGTGAAGTGTAGGTACCTGTGTATATAGGTCCATAATGTTCTTCTGGATATAATTTAATCATTCTTGAATCATGTTAATGTGATATATTATTACTGTTCTTTTGCATACACTGTCTCAGATGTATTATAAATCATTGATATCTGTTGTATTTTAAATTTTTCATTTCTGTCTGCCTGCTTAATCTCAGACTTCTTCCTAGTGTAGCTTGCTAGAATAAAAGTGTGCTCCCTCTGTCTCACCCTCCTTTTTTGTCTTCTCTTGCTCACATTTTTTAATTGTGTTAATAAGTTAATAAGTCTGTTTTTCTTATTTTTCAGATTTTGGATTTTGGGTTAGCACGGCATACAGATGATGAAATGACAGGATATGTAGCAACTAGGTGGTACAGAGCTCCTGAGATCATGCTGAACTGGATGCATTACAATCAAACAGGTAAGATATTTCATTAGCCTTAACTCTTACTAACAAATAACACAAGTTGTGCTCCATAATACAATTATCCAGATCCAACCTAATAAACAGTGTATACCATATTTTTCAGAGTATAAAACGCACCTTTTCCCCCAAAAAAAGAAGGTTAAAATCTGGGTGCGTCTTATACACTTGACACAGCATTTTTGGCGTGCAGAGGGCTTTGGAGATCTGCAGAGTGCAAAAACTTTTTAAAAAATGTTTACCTCTTTAAAATCTTGGTGCATCTTATACTCCAGTGTGTTTTATACTTCGATAAATATGGTAATTCTTACAATATAATTTGGTTGTTTTTGGAACTGTCTAATAGTTCTTCATCTGAACTTATCTGTTCTTATATATTACAGTATATTTGTGGGATATTTTATGTTCCCATGGTAGTTAATCATTTTAGTATTAGATACCTATTGCAGTTGTTTCATAACATAGATTACCACCACTGTGTTTCATTTTGAGGTAAATAGATACTATGCAAAGCTCAGGAAAGGACTAAGAAGTAGTAAGCAAAAAAGTTAAAAGCAGGATATAGAAGAAAAGGAAGATAAAGTGTTGTTTACATCTACAGAATTTGCTATACATTTCTGGACCATATACTATTTCAAACAGTCTTTTTGTCTATAAAAAGACTTTTGTCTACAGAAGTGCTTTGAGGAAATAATCAGTCTTTATCCAATCCAATTTGCTCTTCCTTTCAACCTATTAATTCTTCCTTCGGGTAAAGGTTTCGTGATCTGACACACTTTCATTCTCATTATATTACCACACCGCCTCAATATACATTTTTTTACCAGTCACTCAGATTTATATTACATCCATGATTTTGCATCACCTTTTCATTCTTGACCCTATCTCTTGTTTTGCCCCATGCACTTCTTATTCCCATTGCATTAAATAAAAATTATTTCCCCTGACAAACTCTCATTCCATATTAAGAGCTATGCAGGGTTCTGATGTTGTACACGGCTTGTGTTTTCAGAAAGAGTTTCCAGATCCCTGGTTTTTTTTAATTACCACAATTTACTAGTCATAATGATACATTAAGCATAATTAATAATTCTCTGGTGCACTGCTTGGAGTGTCCAAGCAAGGGTTAAATTCTGTCCCACTGCCCAAGGACTGGATTGAAAATCTTTGGCCACGCCCTCTGGCTCCTTCCATCCTCAGTTTTTCAATTCAGTCCAAAGCCCATCAGATGTATTTAACAGCCTTAGCTGACAAAGTTCAATCACTACTTTCCTTAGCTTAGATTTTTATTGTTTTACCTTCCTTTTTTTCAGTTAGCTAGTCTTCCTTACTGTAGCTTCGTTTGCCTTGCTCTGAAAAGCTGGATTTGCTCCGGACAGAGCAGCGTGCTTCTCAGCCTCCCAGGCGGCTCATCACCTTCATGGTGCTGCCGCCCAGCTGATCCTCACCAGCGGGACTGTCTGAAGCTTCGGCGGCCTGTCAGGCATTCGGGAGGTATTTCCAGCGTCTCCAGAGGCCACGCAACGATGGATTGACCAGGAGCAGCCATATCTCTGCCGGAGCCGCACTGCGTGTTCTCACTAGGCGTGGCCATCTTGGGAAGTGGTGGTGGCCATTTTGGAGGTGGATTTTTCCCGCCAAAAAGCCAAATTGCTGCCGGAGCTCCAGGACCCAGTGGATCCACTCCTTCTACCTGCAGCAGTTTCAGGCAAGTGTTTGGGCGTTCGGAGGCCTTCGCAGCTGCCATCCTCCACGGCCCTTTTCCCCTACCAGTAACAAGTTCCACCTGCGGCCCAACAGAGCCCTGCCCCTTCTCCTGACCACAGTGCCTCAGTCTCTGTGAGTATGTAGGCGGAATCACCATCTGCCTCCAGGCCCATGATCTCCTCAGGTTCAGCTGTCGGTAGCTCAGGCAGCATGGACACAGATTCCATAGTCGAAGCTCCTGAACAAGGGCCCTCCACCAGGGTAGATAGGCCCTATAACAGAAGGGCAGGCAGGACGGCCAGGGAAGCTATAAGGGGGATTGGCAGGTGTCCTTATTCCAGGAAGGAGTCGGCCGGGCAGGATAAAGTGGATGCCGGGCGCCAAAAAGCCTTAGAGAGGCAATTTGAGAGGGTGCAGAGGGAAATCACCATGGTGGCTCAAGTCCTCATGCGGATCCACCTTAGTCTCTGGGGAGCCAAGGCCTTTCCCAACCTGCCCCTCCTCCATCCTCCTGCGTGGGGAAACCACAGGAGTTCTCCTCAGACCAGTCATATGAAGGGTCCAGGTCCCCTTCCCCTTCTATTGGTGGGGGTGCAGATCTGTTTGACTGTGGGGTAGGGGATGAGGAGGAGGATTCTCCCCCTCCTTCTGTGCCCTGTAGGCCAGCCTCAAGTTCTACTTCCAGGGCGGGGACCCGCCCAGTGGAAGACCAGGGACCATCTCTCAGCCGAAATGAGGGAGGTAATTGCTTCCGCAATATCCCAGGGCCTTAAGGAACGTGCTGAAAAATCAGGCCAAGGTCACAAGAGCAAGTCTAAGACTCCCAGACCTTCTTCACCTCCACCCTCCGTGGTTAGTGCTGAATCAGTCTCAGAGAGGGAGGATCTAGATGAACCAGATCTATCTGAGGATGAGGGTCTAATAACCGGCCTGTTCAAGTCTTCCTTATTTAAGTCTTTATTATATAAGGCAAAGGTCATTACTCACCAGGAGGCGACCCCCATCATTATTCCGGAATCTACAGACCCTGCTGACCTCAGTGGGAGATTGTTTGATGAGACGATCCACGCTCAGGACCTGGTGCCTGCACCCAAGTTATTCAAGGACACCAGTGGGTTCAGCCAGGGACCCGGGCGACCCCGGAGGATAATGACAAGCGGCTTTATGCCGTAGAGTCTGGCATGGAAGATCTTCTCAAATTGCCGGAGGTCGATGCTCTGGTGGCAGCCCTGACTTCTAATTCTACTCTTCCCCCAGATCTCTTGGAAGGGCTCAAGGCGCAAGATAAGAGAATGGAAAGAGCCTGTCATAAGACCCACCAGGCTGCAGCTTGGGCCATTAGGGCCTCCACCTCGGCCTCCTTCTTTAGCAGGGCTTCCATTGCCTGGTTATGCCAACTGCTCACCCGTATTCCCCAAGGGGATACCAGGCTCCGCCAAGATGTTAATAAAATAATGGCGGCAGCCGAATACACCACAGACACATCTCTTAACACGGCAAAGTTTGTTTCCAGAGCCATGGCCGCTAACATCACCTCCCGCCGGTTCTTATGGCTCCGCCATTGGAACGTGGACATGAGATCTAAATGGAAGCTCACGTCTGCTCCCTTCAAGGGTAGCAAGTTGTTTGGGAATGCCTTAGACTCTGTCCTTATTGAGAATAAGGACAAGCGGAAGGTTATGCCTTCTATTTTGCGTAAACCAGACCGCAGAAACTCTTCCTTTTGGAAGCAGTCCTTTCGAGCCGCTGATTCACAACCCAATTCCTCTTCCAATTCCTCCTCCTTCCAATGCCCTTATGCCCAGGGCTCCGAACATAACCAGGACAGGCAGGACCCGTCACCAGTCCTTCTCTAGACGCCCATTTCGAGGCGGATCGGCTAACAAGCCATTCCGCCGCAACAAATGACCACCAGTCACACACTCCTGTAGGGGGTCAGCTTCAACTGTTTGCAGACCACTGGGAAACAACCACGTCAGATGTGTGGGTACTGCAAACAGTGAGGCTCAGCCTCAACCTAGAGTTGATTTCCCTTCCCCCCGTCATTTCATTCATTGTCCCACCCCCAGGTGTGCCATCAAGAGGGGGCTCATGGAGACAGATTCGTAAGGGCCATAGAACCGGTTTCCCTGGGACAGGAGAGGAGGGGGTTCTACTCCATTCTCTTCCTGGTCCCAAAAAGCTCAGGGGGGTGGAGGGCCATCTTGGATTTGAAGAAGCTCAACTACCATCTTGCCTACAAGAAGTTCAAGATGCAGTCAATCCTGGGCAGCCTTCGACCAGGGGATCTGATGACTTCCATCGATTTACAGGAGGCCTACCTCCACGTTCTGATAAGACAGGCCCACAGGCAATTCCTGCGGTTTTATTATGCTGGCTGGCATTACCAGTATCGGGCCCTTCCCTTTGGCCTGTCATCGGCCCCGAGCGTCTTCACAAAGATACTGACCGCAGTGGTGTTGGACCTCCAAAAGTGCCCCATTCATCTGCAATGTTATCTGGATGACATTTTGATTCAGTCGTCCCACACGGAAGCGCTGCGGGACCTGAAAGTCACCATGGACTCCCTGCAGTACCACAGGTTTTTCATCAACCGCAAGAAGAGTTATCTCACTCCCTCCACGAGAGTGTTACACTTGGGAGCGGTGTTCGACACTTCGTCATGCCTTGTGTCCCTGTCTCCAGATCAGATTTGCAGCCTCCAAGAGCTGGTACGGCAGGTTCAACGGTCCCCCACCGTTCCCGTGGTCCTGCTGTCGCAATTGCTGGGCAAGATGATTTCCTGTCTGGCAATTGTTCCTTGGGCAAGACTGCACGCAAGAGACTTGCAATGGTTCCTCCTTCCCTCGCTAAGAGCCAATGCCAGCAACTCCAGGGCCCACATTCGCCCATCGCTGAAAGTTCTTCCCTAAGGTGGTGGCGAATACCAGCATTGATGAAGGGCTCGTTGTTCTGAGAACCCGAGCAAGTAACGGTGGGCAGAGCATCATGTAAGTTTCATAAGAGCAGAACACATATTAGGGATAAACAACGTTTGGACGGATTGGTTAAGCAGGTCCACTCTGGACCAGCCGGAGTGGCGTCTGCACCCAAGCCTGTTTTGTCAACTGTGTCTCAGGTTCGGCACTCCTCTAGTTGACCTTTTCGCCACCCTGGAGAACGCCCAACTTCCCCGCTTTTATACCAGGTACAGCTCACCTCAGGCGGAAGGGATAGATACGCTCAATTGCCCTTAGCCCAAGGGCCTGCTTTACGCCTTCCCACCATTACCTCTACTTCCTCGAGTCATCAGGAAGATTCTGCTGGAACAAGCGGAAGTGCTGCTGGTGCACCCTTTCTGGCCATGAAGAACTTGGTTTTTCGACATCACCAACCTCTCGGTCAGCCAGCCTTGGAGAATTTCCCAGGAATTGGTCTCCCTCAGCCACGGGGTCATACGACACCCAGAGCCCCAGTGGCTCAATCTAACCACCTGGCACTTGAGGGGGATCTCCTAGCTCAAGCCAACTTCTCGAGGCAGGTCATTCATACTATCCAGGCAGCCTGCCGCCCTTCCACCACCAGAATCTACAGGGCCATGTGGTCTGCCTTCTCCACCTGGTGCGGCTCACATCACCACTGTCTGCGTCTCTCCCTCAAATACTGGACTTCCTCCAAGAGGGATTTGATAAAGGACTAGTTCCAAACACTTTACAATGCCAAGTCGCTGCACTGGCCACTGTAATATGTCGAGTCTTCCCAACAGCTCAGCTGTCACCCCAGCGTATGGGCCTTTCTTAAGGGCGCATCGAACCTGCGGCCGCAGGTGATCCATTGATACCCGTTCTGGGACCTTGCTGTTGTCCTCAGGGCTCTATCAGAACCACCCTTTGAACATCTCCGCTCTTCTTCCACCAGGCACCTTTCCTTCAAGACGGCCTTCCTCGTCGCCATCACCGCGGTGAGCAGGGTGTCTGAACTGGCAGCCCGGTCAGTCAGGGAGGATTTGTGCCTCATCCACAGAGACGGTCATTCTCCAGCTGGACCCCTGGTTTATCCCGAAGATCAATTCCTACTTTCACAGGGTCCAGGAGCTCGTTCTCCCGAACTTTTGCCCGAGGCCCTTGCATCCTAGAGAACGCCATTGGCATACCCTCGACATGCAGAGAGCATTGAAGTGGTACATCAAGCGTACATCCTCTTTCTGACGCTCGGAGGCCTTAATTGTATCATTTCAACCGGTGGCCATGGGCCGGAAGGTTTCATCTTCCACCATCAGTCGCTGGCTCAGGGCTTGTATTTCCCTCGCCTACGAACATCAGGGTAGGTCTACACCTCCCAGGCAGACAGTGCACTCGACCCGAAGCGCAGCGACTACCCAGGCCTCGATTAAGGAGATCTGCAAAGCTGTGACTTTGCGAGACGCCATCCTTATTTGTTAGGCACTACAAGCTGGACAAATACGCCTCTGCGGATGCTGCCTTCGGAAGACATGTCTTGCAGAGCGTGGTTTCTGCCGAATCTTGATGTGGATTGTGGACCTCATTGGAGGCACCCGCCCTAGTGACATTTTGCTTGGGCATGACCCTGGCTTGGACACTCCAAGCAGTGCACTGGAGAATGACCATTGGCTTACCTGAAGGGTTGTTCTCGGTGTACTGCAGGAGTGTCCAACCCCACTCTAGGGTATTAATTCCAGGATGTCCTGCTTTTCCGTGTGAGGATGCTTTGCCTGACGGACATCCGTCTCAGATGGACCATGCCTTCATTGAAAAACTGAGGATGGAAGGAGCCAGAGGCCGTGGCCAAAGATTTTCAATCCAGTCCTTGGGCAGAGGGACAGAATTTAACCTTGCTTGGACACTCCTGCAGTGCACCGAGAACGACCCTTCATGTAAGCCAATGGTCATATTCATAATATTTTTGTACACACAGTATAATATAAATGGTACCAGTTCATAGTTTCTGATAGATGTGTTATCAATTTCATTCATAATTTAACTTACACAGACACTTCTCCCTATATGTGTGTATCTGTGTGTGTGCCTCTCCCCCCCTCCCGTGTGTGTGTGTGTGTGTGTGTGTGTGTGTGTGTGTATTGGATCAGCTTAATTAATCCTAACTTTTTCTTAGTTTTACAACATAATCTGTTTTTTCATTAATTCTTAACAACTAAATACATATTGTATAGAATTTTTTACCAGTAGAATAATATTTCAGTTAAGCTTTGTAACTATTAATTTACTTTTTAACTTGATTTGTTTTATCCTCAGTTGATATTTGGTCAGTTGGATGCATTATGGCTGAACTTTTGACTGGAAGAACACTGTTCCCTGGTACAGACCGTATCCTTCAGAAGCATCTATAAATAAAATAAAACTACAGATTAAACTAGAATGGATAGATTAATTAATATGAAGCTATGATAGTGGAACTCCTTCTTGTGCAAATTATTGCAGGGCTATTTTGTCAATCTTGGTTTAGGAAAATTAATTCATTCTCTTTTAGAGAAAAAGCTTTTTTTTTTTGTATGTACTCGAAATGAATTGTCGTTGCCTGGTATTTAACTGTGGTTGAGAAGAGAAAATGCATTGTTGCCATAGAAATTACATCATTAAGAACATCCAGTGATGTTTTATTAAGAAAAATACACATGTAAGTGAATATTCAATGGGAAGGTAACAGCGTTCTGTGCGCTTCGACATATAGTCATGCTGGCTACATGACCCTCGGAAATTTCTTTGAACAACACTGGCTCCCTCAGCTAAGAAATGGAGATGAGCATCAGTCCCCTAGAAACAGACATGACTGGACAGGGGAAACCTTTATCTTTGTGGGAATATTTATGAGAATAATAGTATAATGCTTATATTGTTATTTGAATATTTTCCAAATAGTAAAATATACATTTTTATTTCTAGTTAAATTAAAATGTTTTAAAGTCTCTTTGGTCTTAATGTTTCAAAAATAATGTTTTCCTAAAGAGAAGACTAGGCTTCTCAAATTTTAAGTATATCCCATTAGTTTAGGGGTAAAATGGGTTTATCTATTACTTGGTAGTCAGTCTCTCTTTCATTTCTTCTGTGTTTTGGGTACTTGGGTACTTTTAAAATACCCAACATTACATTAAAATGCTCAGTCAAGATTGTGTTGAGTAAAATCTAAGACTAAAACTGATGGATAAATTTTAAATATTCCTTCTACCCAGACCCCGTTCAATGTAATATTTCAATTGTGATGTTGTGGTTTGGGAAGTGTGTGATTAATTTAGTTGAGGTGAACTTTTAGGCTGTCTTTTTATACTGTAGTAAACTGTTATAACACATGATTTATTGAGCATAGTTATGGTGACCATAAATTGGGATTTACATATTATTACAGTGGTTTCAAATGTCACACCTTAAACCCAAATTATGCACACTCCAACATGTCTGTGATGTGTGAACTAGACCTGAATTTAAAATTTTCTCTCAGCATAAAATATTATAAGAAAATTGTCTACATTGGCACACAATTCATAATGAAAATACTCTAAATTATTATAAGATGTAGAAAAGATGTGGAGACTCTAGAAAGAGTGCAGAGAAGAGCAACAAAGATGATTAGGGGATTGGAGACTAAAACATGTGAAGAACGGTTGCAGGAACTGGGTATGTCTAGTTTAATAGAAAGAAGGACTAGGGGAGACATGATAGCAGTGTTCCAATATCTCAGGGGTTGCCACAAAGAAGAGAGAGTCCAACTATTCTCCAAGGAACCTGAGGGTAGAACAAGAAGCAATGGGTGGAAACTTCATTAAAGGAGAGAAGCAACTTAGAACTAAGGAGAAATTTCCTGACAGTTAGAACAATTAATCAGTGGAACAGCTTGCCTCCAGAAGTTGTGAATGCCCCAACACTGGAAGTCTTTAAGAAGATGTTGGATAGCCATTTGTCTGGAACGGTATAGGATTTCCTCCCTAGGCAGGGGGTTGGACTAGAAGACCTCCAAGGTCCCTTCCAACTCTGCTATTGTATTGCATTGTATTATTAAAACTTTTGAAAAGATAATTTCAAAATATTACGTTCTTTTGATATTTGCTTATTGATTATTCATTTTTATTATAGATCAACAGTTTGCTTTATCTGAATAAGATATTTGGCTTTTATACAATTCATTGCTGATGATTTTGGCAAGCTTCAGTTGTGGGACTTTCTCGTCCTTAAAGATGAATCTTACTGCTACTGCATTTCTTTCTTTTAATAAAATTTGTTTTGGATAAATTCTTATTTTAGTTTTACTTCTGCTAATTACTTACTTAGGTGCCCTTGAATTGGGACCTTGGTGATTATATGGACAAATGCCACCCATCTCTGCCTGACCGTAATTCTTTCAATGACATTTCAATGACCACTTAGATACCTTCATCTATTTTATCCATTGTTTTCTACTCTTCTCAACCCTACTGGTGCTAGTAGCTTTCCTAGCACATTATCCATTCATAGTGAGTTTATGCTTCTTAGTTATTGTTCAAGGAAGCAGTTTTTATTTTCTCCGGGACTAATTGATTGTTTTTCTTGCAATCTGTCTTTCTCTTTCTCCAGTGTCCTATTTTCACAGTTGTGGTATTTACCAACATAAAACCATTGCTTTAACTACTCCTCATTGCTTTGATGTATCTTAATTCTGAAACAAGGGCATTATGAAGTTTTGTAAAGTTCTATTTTATATTTTATGTTAAGTCACACTTTTTGAGACATAAAAATGATTCATTTATTCTGTTTTCTTTGGCTATTGTTTTATCTTGCTGGTCATTAACACTACAGTAATTAAATGAAAAATCTTTGTCATAAGTTTTCCCTTTTCTATTATCACATTGTCTAAGATGTTTGTTGCCTCCCTCTCCTCTTTCCTTCTTCAGAAAGTCTAAGAAAATAAAAATATCTTTCCTCTTATTTCTTTATCATCATTTGTTAGTTTGCTAAGCATGATAACTTTTATCATATTTAACCCAGATTTTTGTTTCCCATTTTTAATTCGCAATCCCCTCTTCTGAGCATTCTTTACTTTGAGTAACAAAATGATACTATTTGTGTATCTTAGATTGTCATGTTTTAAAATTCAGATTTGATTCTATCATGTCTTTCATCATTATAAAAGATTGATTGTATAAATTAAACAGATTGATAGTAAAAATTAAAAAGACACTGTGTCTCTCTCCATTTGCTACCCAAACAAATCTGTTTCTTCTAACTTGATTTTTAACAATGCCTTCTTGTTTGTTGTAGCTGCTCCAAAGAAGAATCATCAGGTATTTTGAAATACTGGTTAGCTATATTATATTCCACACTGGTTTATATTATATTCCACATTCTATATAATAGTTTTACTGTTATCAATAGAGAAAGGTAAAATATCTGTCCACTGTTTTTGTTGACCGTCTTATGATACCTACCTATTCATCTCTGCCTTTTCTGAACTCTGATTATTCATTTGATATTTTTATCCATGTATCCATGTATAACTATAAAAAAATGAAGTAACATTTTCCTTTCACTTCATGTTTATTTTGACAGTCTAATTTTTGCTTCTCGCATTTCAAGCTTCAACACTATGCACCCATGTAAAATTTTAAAAGTTCTCTTTCAGTTCTGGTACCAACTGTGATTTATTTTTCTTCCACCATTGATCTGACTATGTCTTTATGAAAGTTTGACTTTCTTTGTCAATAATTTAAAGGGATGCCTTCTCAGAAATGGAGAAGTGGGGTAGCTCACCAATTATTTGGTATCCTGGTCTGTCTAAATGTTTCATCTATATCCATGTAGTTTTTATATCAACAGTACAGAAGTCATTGCCTTCTTCTAAGTGGTCAATTTCTTCCATACTTCACAATCCAAGTTGTCCCTGTAGTTGTAGATTACTCTTCCCTTTTAATCTGACTGCAATCAGGAATTGTGGAATCGTTTCCAGAATGTAATTAAATCATCTAATCATGTCAAAGTTATAATTCAGTATAAGAATTTTCTTCTGTAGCTGAGTACAAATTATTCTCTGGATCGGTTTCAAATAATAAAATTTCAGTATTTTTTACTGTTTATACAAAATGTTCATCAGTTGCTGACTTAACATATCTTCAATCCTTTTAAAAATATGTATAGATAATGAAGAAACATAATTTGAACGTAGTAAATAAAATAGTTTCAAGAATACATAATACCTAACTTAGTTCATTTTTCAAATTCTTTTTCAAATAATGTAAACCATTTAGCATTTATCCTAGAGCAGCGGTTCTCAACCTGTGGGTTGCGACCCCTTTTGGGGTTGAACGACCGTTTCACAGGGGTCACTGAGACCCGCACAACTCTAAACTTTAGACTTCACTTCGCATTCCTTGAAATCCCCTGCGGATGGGCTCCGGAGTCATCGCCGGCCATGCAGCGTGTCGCCGTGGCTCAACGCCGTAAAAAACAGGTGCACGCGCACACTTCGTACAATTAGCCTTAGAGACTTTGTAATGGTGGGAAAGTGTTCCTGCGAGGGAGGAAGGGGCTTAGGTCCTGCTCCAGGCTGTAATTATGCGGGGCGTGCATGCGGCTATGTTTTCTATGCCGCTGCCAGGTACTTTTAACTATATCTAAATCCACAACCAGACCTGTCATCAAGAGCCAAG